TGGGCGCTTTGCTAGGTTTACTATTACCCCCGGGGCCCCATTGGCTGCTTTGCTAGGTGTACTATTACCCCCCGGGGCCCCATTGGCTGCCTGGCCTCGGTGCTTCCTGTCTGCACAAGGTAAAGGTCGCCCTCTGGGGTGAGCGCTCCTCTGCAGACTTCCCCGAGTCAGAGGGGCTCCCCTGCGACCACCATCATCTCTACACGCATACTACACGGGTAACCAGTGTGCCTTCCGCGACTGAACACGTGTCATATAAAGTTACTCCCCCAACAAGGACGACGTCATAAACTGTCATAGTTCCTGCAGAGGAAGGGACCCTGTATGAGGTAACACACACTACACTGCCAGGAGTACTGGCCCCTCCCCCTCCGGGACCCTGTATGAGGTAACACACACTACACTGCCAGGAGTACTGGCCCCTCCCCCTCCGTGACAGGAAGGGACCCTGTATGAGGTAATACACACTACACTGGACTCGAGAAGAGGAGGCGTGGTCTCTGGAGGGACCAATCACGCTTCTGTCTGGTGACGGGCGTGTCTGGGTTTGGTGATTGTGGTATCAGCACTTCTACTCTCCATATACACCCGGTAATAAATACTCGTCTAATCTATTCCTAAGTGGTCATGTGACCGCACAGCCCCAACAAGTGCGCCCGCGTCTACGTGGCTTTTAAAGCCTTCAGGGCAACAACGCCTTTGAGACACGGACGCCGAGGTCACTGCTCTAGGCCCTCAGCGACATTGTTGGGCCCCCTCGCCGGTAGGTAGGCAACCTCGGCACTCAGCTGTTGTAGAACTACAAGTCCCATGAGGCATTGCAAGACAGAGAGCCTCATGCAGGACTCCCAGAGGCATGATAGGAGTAGTAGTTCACCACATATAGTGCACTGAGGTGGTCTACCCCGTTCACATCAGTAGTACAAAGTCCGCGGGTGAAAGAAGCGCCATTCTCTCGTCACCAAACTGTTATTTAATTTCTCAAATACAAACCGGCCACAACTTTCAGTGTGAGAGGATTCCGGGAGCTGCAGAGTAACGTTCAGAATGTTCTAGAAGCGTCAGAGGCACAGCGGGGGAAAGGGGGCGGAGTCTGATTAGTAGGAGCGGATGGCGGGGGGGACGGAGGCGCAGTCCTCTTCATTCAGCGTGGAGTCGATCACGGGCCGGTACTTCAGGGTCACCTCCCCCTTCTTATCCACAAAGGACAAGGTGTGCTTCCTCCAATGCTCCTCCATTGGTTTCTTCCGCTGCCCCTGCACGGGCTTGGAGAAGTCGTACTCATCCACCCGCACCTTGTAGTCCTCCCTGGCGTGGGCCCCGCGGCTCTCCGTGCGGGCCTCGGCCCCGTTGATGGTCTGCAGGGCGCACAGCATCAGGTTCTGCAACTCCAGCGCCTCCACCAGGTCCGTGTTCCAGACGATTCCGCGGTCGAAGGTCTTGATGTCGTCCATGGCGGAGTTGACGGCGCCGAGCTTCTCGCAGCCTTCCTTCAGCACGGAGCCGGTGCGGAAGACGGCGGCGTGCGTCTGCATGGTCTTCTGCATGTTGAGCCTCAGCTCGGCGGTTCTGGTGCTTCCGTCGGCGAACCTCAGCTTGTCCAGATTGGACACGGACTCCTCGCCCGCGTTGGGTTTCAGGGGCGACAGGGGCTCCCCGGGTGTGCAGCTCTCGGCTATGCTGAGGGCGCAGGCACGCCCGAACACCACCAGGTCCAGGAGGGAGTTGGCGCCCAGCCGGTTGGCTCCGTGGACGGAGGCGGACGCGGCTTCGCCGCAGGCGTACAGCCCCGGCACCACCTGGTCCTCGCCGCCGACGTGGACGATGGCCTGTCCCTTGTAGTTGGTGGGGATCCCCCCCATGTTGTAGTGGACTGTGGGGAGGACGGGGATGGGCTCCTTGTTGACGTCCACCCCGGCAAAGATCATGGCGGTCTCGGATATGCCGGGCA